TTCTCCTCCATTCTCCTCTCGGGATCTTGGGCGCGCACGCACAAGTGCCCGGCGTGAGTTTAAGCCACCGGGTCCGGGACGCGAACCGCGATCGACTACGTGGGAGTCCAACGATATAGCCATTACGCTAACTGCTGGTTCCTGAAGCCTGGATCTTAACTGGGGCGTGGGGCCCACAATACTGACAGGAGGCCTAAAACCTGATCATCTCCTCCCTCCCCAACTCTTACTTAGCTTCCCTCAGCACTTTCGTACTTACATTTAAAACCTGTTTCAGTGTCACTAGCTTTAGTCAATTAGCTTTAGCTTTAGTCATTTAAAGTGTTTAAATGCTAACCAAACTGCAGGCGGTTTGTTCGAAACTGCTGGGGACCCAGCCGTGAGCAAAGCGGCCGCAGTCTTGTTCCTGTGGAGCTGATGGTGTGTGGGGGGAACACACAGTGCACATATGAAAACACACACGTGACAGCTGGCCCTGCAGCCTAGTGTTAAGGGAGTCGGATCCCACACACTGGCTGCAGTTCGAATCCCAGCCCTGGGGGCTTGAAAAACACAGCAGGCACCTATGTGCCCCAAATCCCAACCGGTTGGAAGAGTGGAGGGGAAGGGACTGCGGCGTGACAATGCCCCACTAAGGAGTGCTTTCTCCCCCTCCCTCTCTGACTCTCTCTGGAGAGCACACCTGCCCTCTGGCAATTACACAAAGGAAAACATAACCAAAGCCCAATGTCGGGGCCAGCAGATGACATAGCAGTTACGTCGCTGGACTCCTACAAGGCTGACGACGATGGTTTGAGTCCCGGACCCAGTGGCTTGAAACTCACACCCGGCATGTGTGCGTGCATGCCCAAGCTCCTGGGAGGAAATGGAGAAGGGATTGTGGCGTGGCCATCCCTTCTGGAAACCGATTTCTCACTTTCCCTCTCAGTCTCTGTCTCTCTCAGGTGAGCACACACGCCCTAAGGGAAAAAAACCTCAAAAACAAAACAAAACAAAACAAACCCCTGCTGTCAGGGGG